GAAAGAGAGCTGCTTTTGTCCTGCAGCTTGCCTGCGTGCCTGCCTGTTGGCTGTGTTTGTACCTCTGTGAAAGCATCTGTTGTGCTCTGGCTGAGGCCAGCTCTTGCTGATCTCTTCGCCCTGTTCTGTCCGTCCTTGCTCCCCAACAGAGATCGTTTGATAATCCCGAGTGGTTCTATCGGCACGTGGAGGATCACAGCTTCTGTTCGGAGTACAAGGCAGCAGGGAAGGAGAACCACGTGGTCCTCTGTGGCTGGAAAGGTTAGTGGGTGCATGCAAGGCCTCTTTAGAGAGCTTTGCACAGGGCTGGACTGCAAATGTTGCACGGGAGAGCTCTGCACTCCTTGGCAGGATTTCAGAGAGCCTCTTGAATTTCAAAAATACGTGTCTGTGGTCCTAACAGTGAAACATTCGTGTGGAATTTCCTTCCAGGGATCCAGTTAAGTGCTTAATATTGAACTTTTCATTTATATTTAATTAGTACCTTGAAGAAAAGGTTCCCGTTTACTTTTTCTCAATAATTTCTCTCTCCTGTGTTTGTGCAATTGCCTGAGCTGCTTGCAGTGGGGGGCGGCCATGCCGGTTGTACACTAGTGATCTCACCCTGTGCTCTGTGGGCTTTTTGGAGCAGGGACCGGATCCTTGCTGGTCAGAACAGAAGCAAGCAGCCTGCTGTTCGGTCAGATTGTGGATCGTGGCCCATGTGTGAAGGATCTTAATGGCGTTCTGTTCCTCTTTAGACTGCGATTGCACCTTCAAGGGGCGCTGCAAACTGCGGGAGCACTTGCGCAGCCACACGCAGGAGAAGGTGGTGGCCTGTCCAACCTGCGGGGGCATGTTCGCCAACAACACCAAGTTCTTTGACCACATCCGCCGTCAGACTGCCCTGGACCGTAAGCTCCTGCGGGTGGGGCAGGAGGGGGTTGTGAGCAGTCCTCTGACTGGGCCCTTTGGCTTGCTAGAGCAAAGGGCATGGGTGCGCTTGGAAACAGCCTGGATTCTCTGATGACTGGGGACTCAGACGCTGGTGAATCTCTGAGAAACGTCTCCTTGCAGAGGCAGGAGGGTTGGAGGCTGGTAAGGCTGCACAGGGCTCGCACTGCTGCAGCCAGAGCTGTTCCTCCTGTAGGGAGCCGGGCCTGAAGTCAGAGGCAGCAGCTGGGCACTTGCAGCAGCACTGGGATTTGCTTGTTGAGTTGCCTTGTCCTGTGCTGGTGGGGTGTGTGTATGTGACGGTTCCTCCCCAGTTTGTGCACTGGCAGCACAAGGAGACTGGGCAAAGGGGATGAAGATTGATCTTTGCAAGTGGGGGTTTTTTTGTGTGTTTGGCTTTGTAGTCAGTGTCTGCTGTCTCTGCCTGGAGAGAAGGGTTCCCAGCTCTGCTGTAACTACCTGGTTTTCTTATTTGCTGCTCTTTGTGCTGTTCTCTCTGCTTTGTTCTCTTTTCTCACCACCCCCTCCCCTTTCTCCCTGGCCCTGACGCTGCAGAGCAGAGGTTTCAGTGCTCTCACTGCTCCAAGAGGTTTGCCACAGAGAGGCTGCTCCGTGACCATATGAGGAACCATGGTGAGTAAAGGCCCCTTCTCCCAACTGAGGCTCTGAAGAGCGTGTGCTCGGCCCTGCTTTGTGGTTATGTTTTCCGCCCGTTCTTTTGCACAGTGAACCATTACAAGTGCCCTCTGTGTGACATGACTTGCCCGCTGCCCTCCTCCCTGCGCAATCACATTCGTTTTCGGCACAGCGAGGAGCGACCGTTCAAGTGTGACTACTGTGACTACAGGTGAGGACCAGGGCTTTCCGTCTTCCCAGACTGGTGACAGAGAAGCTTACCCAGCAGCGTGTGTGTGTGCTACACAGTGTTCAGCTTTGTTCCCTTATAATTCCCTTTTAGCTGCAAGAATCTCATTGACTTGAGGAAACATCTGGACACGCACAGCAAAGAGCCAGCCTATCGCTGCGAGTTTGAGGCTTGCAGCTTCACTGCACGTTCCCTCTGCTCCATCAAACTGCACTACCGGAAAGTCCATGAGGTGGGAAGGGAGCAGAGGGCTATTCTGCTGTGTACTCTCTGCCAGTGCAGCTGAGAACCACTAAGTGCAACATGCTGTACAGAAGCATGAGGAAAAAAAGCTACAGTGGTGTCAAGTGCCCCAGGTTGACCAGGGCTGTAGGAATGGGAGGTCAGGTTGCATTCCTGTCTTACTGCTGCAATGATACATCATGTCAGTCTTCTCGGAGAACCTGATTCCTCTTTCCGTGCACATGTGTGGGTACCAGGCCCTCTGATCAGGCTCCTGGGGTATTCACATCCCTCTCTCTGCCCTTCAGGGTGACTCAGAGCCCCGGTACAAGTGCCATGTTTGTGACAAGTGCTTCACACGTGGAAACAACCTCACTGTCCACCTCAGGAAGAAACACCAGTTCAAGTGGCCCTCGGGGCATCCTCGCTTCAGGTACTACATCCTTATCTCCTCACTACCTCCTCTCTAGTGCAAGAGACAGCTGGAGCAGAGACCTGGCAGTGCTCGGGCTCTGATGTTTGCCCATGTAATGTTCTCAGGACCCGTTTCCCAGTGGCTGGGAGACACTGGGCAGCAAGCATTTGGCGGGATCTGGCACAGCGACACAGCAGTACTAGGTGGCAGCTCCAGCATGTGTCAGAGATTAGGGGCAAGGGCAGCAGTGGTGCCATCACAGCTGTGTCTGGTGGGGTGCTTCTGAGCTCGGACACGGCCAGGTCCAGGTGTCCCACTCTAGAGAGAGCTGCTGCAGATCAATGTCTTGACAGATGCCTCTGCTGCATCCTCTCTAGGAAACTTTAAAGGGTTTCCAGAGCCTAAAAGCTGGGAGGGGAAGAGGATGAACTTCAAATGCTCCTGGTGAAACAGAGTGGTGGAAGGAGATGGGCTTGGGAGATGACAGAGGCCTGGCAGAAAGCTCAGAAGCTGCTGCAGGGATGTGTTCTTAGCGGCAAGAACTGAAGGGTTTTTCTCTTTCTTGCCCGGTATCAACTGTGTAGCATTGGGAAACTAAAATATAGGGGCCCTTGGCTGCGGCTTCAGGCTGCTACCTGTCTCTCGGGAAGGGGCTGCAGTATGACTGGCTCTGTCACCCCTGGCTGTCTCTGCTCAGGTACAAGGAACATGAAGATGGCTACATGAGGCTGCAGCTGGTGCGTTACGAGAGCGTGGAGCTGACAGAGCAGCTGCTGAAGGACAGAGAGAAGCGGGGGGAGGCACTGGATGGCTCAACTGAGTGTGTGGTGCTGTCTGAGGGCGAGGGCAACCTGCAGGGCATCATTCTGGAGGCCCCTGCAGAGGCTCCCCTGGTGGAGAACAGTATTACTGAGCTGCAAGTGGCCCCGCTGCACCCGGCCTCTTGCTCTGCTGACAACCCTGAGCCAGCACAGCCCAGTGCCTTCCCAGGAGCAGCGCTGTCATCGGAGCAAGAACCTGGCACCCCGGCCAACCCCATCATCCGTGTGGTGAACCGGACCAACGAGCACGGGGAGAGTGAGACTGTGTATTATGTCCTGGCCAGCACATCCTCAGAGGAGCAGGTGGCAGGATCTGGCGGGCTGGCTGTGGAGCTGGAGGAGAATGTCATGGACCGTCTGCAGAAGACTGCTGAGGAGCTGGGCATCCAGATCGTGTAAGGTGCTCACCTGCCTCTGCATGAGGAGAACTTGGGCCTCCGTGGGATGTGCTGGTAGGGGCAGCTGGAAGTGCTTGGGGGAGAGGGCTGAGCTTGTCTTCACTTCCCTGCAGCTGGCTAACTTCCCCCTCTGCTGCCCCAGCCTCACTGGCTGCCAGGGGAGAGAGGAAGGACAGGTCTCTCTCTCTGTTGTGGGTCAAGTGATCTGAGCTGGAGAGAGCTGGCTGTCTGCTCCTTTGGGGATGAGGGACTAGCAAGCCTGTCCCACCCTTCCAGGAGGTTTGGCCTTAGCCTGACACACGCCTTCCCCTCTTGGTCACTCGCGGGTGATGTGGTCCCTGCTGTTGTGCAGCTAAGTTGTCAGCCCTTGCTGAGCCTGGTCCTCAGTTAGGTTCTCCCCAGGCAGGATGGTGTCCTGAGCAGACACTGCGGCTGGAGCCTCTTCCCTGGGAAGATGTGTGACTCTTGGCAGGCCTGTTCTCCCCCATCCAAGGGACGGCACGCTCCACTTCTGCCTTCATCAGCACTTCCCTGCCCATCATCTTTCCTATGTTGTTCAGCTGGTGCTGTTGGTGGTGTTTGCACCACTGATCCCATTACACTGCACTCATCTCTGGGAGGAGAGGGCTGAAGTGCTTTCTCTTGCAGGCTGCTGCTATCCCGCAGCGCTGGGGGTTGGGAGCTTCTTACTGCTTTTGTCCTTGCCTCGGTTTCCTCCCCACATTGGGGTTTGGCCTTCTGGTTGGGCAAAGTGTACTTTGGCAAGACAAATAAAAGTCAAGACTGCCAGGCCAGCCAGCGTGGTGTCTCTTTCGGCCCCCTCCCTGCCGGCCGTGGCATGTTGTGAGAGGGTGAGACTGAGTTGCCTAGAGCCTGCAGTGTGGGAGGTGGGCACTTGAATAGCTACCAGGATCTCTTGACATGTCCTGCGTGGTGCAGCTGGCGACTGCCTTGGAGAGTGTCTTGTTCCATGTCCCCGGAGGTGGCACTGGAAGGCCAGGTTTAGTTCTGGCACGCCTGTTCCCTGCTGCCTCCTTCAGGGCACGAATGTCAGCTGCCTGCGATATCATTTTTTGAATACAGAGAGTAGCCTGTGCTTGTAAGCAGAGCCGGCTTGCCCTTGGATGAGGACAGTGTGAAGCTGGTGTCCGTGGAGTGACCTGTGTGTGGAGGTGACGTGCCCAGATGCAGGCAGTGAAGTGCCCTGCTGATCCCCTGCCTGGACCCTTTTTCCCCTTGCTTGCTTTCTCAAGCAGCTCAGCAAAAGCTGTTGGAATTCCAGGTTGATGGAGGAAATCCCTTTATACTAAACCCTTGGCCATCTTCTGACTTTGTGTGCGTGTGATTCATGGCTGTGCCCTTGGGATGGGGTGATAAGAGCAGTGCCTTAGGCCTGCACCCCGGGTGAGGGACAGCATGCTCTGGGGTTGCCATACACAGGGGCTGGGTAAGGAGCAGGGGTGAAGTGGGCAGAGCTGCCCGCTGCAGGCTGTGTGTGAAGGGCAATGTGCGCCCCTGCACCCCGATACTGCTCTCCTCAGGGGCGTGCACTGGGCACCCTGTGCTCAGGGTGAGGCAGGGCAGGAGGCAGCTCGCTGTCCCATGTCCTGCACGCACTGCAGGAGGGTGCTGCTAACTCTGGGGAGAGCACCCCTGGGCTGCCGGCATGCGATGTGGCGGGGGCTTGCCCAGCCTTCCCCACCCCTGCCTGGCCCTTACTCCCTGGTACTTGGCAGAGCCGGGCCGAGGATACCTTCGAGAGAAGGGCCTCCTGCCAGGTTTGCATTCGCAGCACTTCTATCTTGGCCCTCTTTCCAACACGCAGACCTTGGGGCTCTGCTGCCAAAGCCACGGCTGCACCTGCATTATCTTGGACTACAGCGCTCCTGCACAACGTGAGTGGTAGGTGTTGGGAGTGGAGGCGAGGCTGTGGTGGCTGGGAGGAGTTGTTCCTTTAAACACTGGGTCAGGGAGGGTAATCTGCCAGAGATTATCTGCTGGGGAGAGGATTGGCATTAAAGGGAATGTCTCCTCCCTTCCCCCCGTGTCCTACAGCATCCCCTGTCCTGTGTGTATGGAAACTAAGTTCACTTTCTCCTGGGCAGAGAAGGGGCCTTTGATTTGAGGGGCAAGGGGAGGAGGGCAGAGTGTGCACTATGGGACTAGGCCTCCTCTTCCTTGCTGTGCTGGCCGTGGTGGTTTCCTGCGAGGACCCAGAAGGTAACAGGGTGTTTGGGGGAAGAGGGGCTTACAGGGTGCTCCAGAGCTGCTGGCACCTGGCTGGACTGGTGTTCCTCAGCAGGGACCAAGACTTCTATCACGTTCCTGTGCCAAGGCTTGGCACAGGGGAAGCAGGAGCTGGCTTACAGAAGAGCTGGGGGATGCTAGCGGATGTGCTCCTCACCACAGCAGGGGTCAAGGGGTGGGCTGAGATGAACCTTCACTGTGTTTGTACCACCTCTCTGTGGGTCTCTGAGGGCTGGTTAGCTGGTGGGAAGGGTGATCCTTGGGCCCCAGCCGAGCCCTGCTCTGCTTTGCTCTCTGTGGCACCAGGAGACCTGGATACTTACTGGTCTGGCACAGCACCCATCTGCCTGGGGGGCTGCAAGGGGAAGCACAAGGAGCTGAAGAGGAGCCAGTGTGGGAATGGCAGCTGCTGCTGGCTGGGCTACAAGTCCTTCTGCAGAGGTACAGCCAGAGGGCGGAGACCGGGGGGGGGCCTGGGGATGGCTGCAGGGCTTGGCGCAGTCAGCCTGGGGAGGGCAGGTTTTGTGCTGCACACACGTGCGTGGAGTCTCTCCAGCAGCCTGGTCCGCGGGCCGCAAGGGGACGCAGCCTGGGGCAGCCACAGATCCTGCCCAGCACCCTGGTCCTCACCCAGGACCCGCAACCTTGTCCGGGTACATCCCCTTGGGCTGCTGTTCTGCTGAGTGGGCTGCACAGGGTGCTAGACCCTCCCTGCTTGTGGGAACCTCCTTGTCCTCAGTGAACTGCGGGCGGCCCGAAGCGGACTTCAACTCGGTGGTGTATGGCAATGACTGGTGGGTCGGCTCAGTGGTGCGGTACAGCTGCCGGCCTGGATTCCT